AATTGGTACCAGGGATCGAACTCGGGTCCTTGCGCTTGCGAGGCAGGCGGCGGAATTGCTGAGCTAAATCCCCAGCCCAAACTTATTAAATCTTGATAATAAGCATATCAACTGATAAATAACTCAACTATACAGCTGTTCTCCATCAGTGACTTGTGTTCTCTTGTTTTGTTCATGCTGTTAATTTTTCAAGTTCACTCAAAAGCAGCTCAAACGCCACCTCCTTTGTGGAGTTTTGTGGTCTTTCACAAAGGAAGGAGCTCTGTCTCTGACCAAAGCACACTCTCTCTGGGACATTCCATGCTGACCAGCATTAATTAAGCATATATATTTGTCTTTCTTTCTATTGAATTGTTAGAATCTTACAGGCAGATACTGTGTGTTCCCATATTTATATTCCATGCCATGTCAGATACAGTGCCTCCTAATAGGCACTTAAAAATTATGCGCTTGGGGGGTCGGATTTAGCTCAGTGTTTCTACTGCCTGCTTCCCAAGCACAAGGTCCTGAGTTCAACCACTGATACCAAAAAAAAATTACTCGCTGGGGCTGGGGATACATTCAGTGGTAGAGCACTTGCCTAAAATTAACTAGGCCCTGAATTCCAGCACCAGCACTTGCACACACACACAAACACAGAAAAAACCCTGAAAATTGGCATATACTTTGGTTCTAGTTAAGTTGAATTAACAAGAGGAAAAAATTTCAAAAGCCAAACAGAAAGAATTATCTTAACTAATATAAAGATCTAGAATGCAGGGTATACACCTTTGCTTATTATTCAAAATGTATTGATTTTCTTTACCACCTGTTTTGTTTTGTTTTTGTTTTGGTACCAGTGATCAAACTCAGCCCTTCTGCTTGCAAGGCAGGCAGCAGAACCACTGAGCCAAATCCATGGCCCAAAATGTATTGATTTTCTAAAATAATAAATGTTTAAGTGAAGAATGCCACCCCAAATATAGACTTTCCTGAGGAAACCCCTTAACAATAAATTTAATTTTCTGCTTTTTAAAAATTATTTTTTTATTATGTTATAAACTTTTGATTGCTACACTAAATAATGTATTTCCAAACTTTAGTGAGTGGCTATGAGGTAGTTTCAGTAAGAGTGACAAGTAGATTGCTCAGTAAATGTTAGCTAAATAAATTTAAGTATGAAATGTATAAAGAAAGTAACTGATTAAACCATCAAAAGAACACGTACCCAAATCTTCCGCGTGAACTTTCACATATCAATTTACATTTGCTTGCCTAATTTCACTGCTTACTAAACAGCTTATATGGAAGTGGGCTAGAAAAATTTAAAAATGAGCCATGGAACCAAGTGAAGTTTTCCATCATAGGTACATTCAGTAAACCCATTACCATGGTGCTCAAACCAAGCACCAACATATGTTTAGATGCCACATCTATGTACTGTGTAAAAAGAAACATGAAGTTTCAAGAAATTGGCTTTAACAGCAGAGATTGCAATTATATTAGCTTCATTCAGTTTCTAGTTTAGTATGCCACAATTAAACTCACGCGCGTGCGCACATACACACACACACACACACACACACACACACAATTTCTTACCCACTTTATCCAAACAATGCATATTATAACTTCTAAGCTCTGCTGGTCCAGACAGTCTACCAGAATTAGAATAGTATCTGTCTTGCTTTTGTAGTGGAAGAGCTGGGTCAGGATATGGTTGGCCTAGAAAACATATTTTTGAAATATCTTCATTAATATAAATCTAGTTTACTTAAGTTTAAGGTGTTGAACTTAAGATATTTCTCCTGAAGGCCAGGGATTTAGCTCAGTGGTGCCATCGCATGCCTTGCAAGTACAAGGTCCCGAGTTCAATCCCTGCTACCAAAAAAAAAAAAAGTATGATAAAAGATATTTCTCCTGCTTCTAAACCACATTAGTGACAGACAATAGCAATTTCAGAAAAACTACATATTTGTTATAACTGTGTTTTGAATTAAACACATATATGATTTGCTACTTTGTATTTTGAAAGTTTCAATTACTGTGTATATAATGTGAGTTAAATCTATCTAAGTAGGAAATGTTTAAACAGGGTAATTTGTTAGAATATGTGAAAACAATTTAGTTAAAAATACATGAATTGGATAGAATCAACAACTGGGATCTCATCTTACTAAAAAGCTCCTGTACTTCAAAAGAAACCATCTGATTTGCTACTTTGTATTTTGAAAGTTTCAATTACTGTGTATATAATGTGAGTTAAATCTATCTAAGTAGGAAATGTTTAAACAGGGTAATTTGTTAGAATATGTGAAAACAATTTAGTTAAAAATACATGAATTGGATAGAATCAACAACTGGGATCTCATCTTACTAAAAAGCTCCTGTACTTCAAAAGAAACCATCAGCAGAACTAAGAGACAATATATAATATGGGAAAAAATTTTTACCAGCTGTTCCTCAGACAAAGGACTATTATCAATGATATATAAAGAACTCAAAACAATCAGTCCCCCCAAATATAAAGACCCAATTCAAAAATGGGCATCCGAAATGAACAGACATTTCTCAGACAAAGAAGTAAAAGCAGCAAGAAAATATTTGAAAAAATGTTCCACATCACTGGTCATTCGAGAGATGCAGATGAAAACAACACTGAGATTCCACCTCACCCCACAAAGAATGGCTGCTATCAAGAAATCACACAATAACAAATGTTGGCGGGGTTGTGGGGAGAAAGGAACCCTTCTCCATTGTTGGTGGGAGTGCAGACTGGTGCAACCACTATGGAAATCAATATGGAGATACCTCAAAGAGCTTGGACTGGAGGTTCCATTTGACCCAGCCATCCCTCTGCTGGGTATCTTTCCAAGAGAACTAAAAGAATCATATCACAGAGAAGTATGTGCACCCATGTTTATAGCGGCACAGTTTGTAATAGCTAAATCTTGGAAACAACCTATTTGCCCATCCGTTGGAAACTGGATAAAGAAGTTGTGGTTTTTCTATAAAATGGAATATTACTCAGCCATAAAGAGCGAGAGAATAGATTCATTCATAGGAAAATGGATACATATTGAAGATATACTCCTAAGTGAAATAAATAAGTCCCACATGTGTAAATACCAAATAGTTTCCCTGGTGTGAATATTCTGCAACAATGCATAAGATTCTAATAAGATTACTGACATTTAGAAATGGGAGGAAAGGAGCTAAAGGTGTAGGGAAGGTGTGATACGTAGGGGAAGAACAAAAAGGGAAAAGAAAAAAATGTGAGAGAATGAAAAGATGAAAATAAAGTGTTTGTAGATGGGGAGGGGAGGAGGGGGTGAAGGGAGGGCAGAGGTAAGGGGAAAAAAAAAAAATACATGAATTGGGATGGGGATTTAGCTCAGTGGTGCCAATGCCTGCCTTGAAAGCACAAGGACTCCAGTTTGATCCCTAGTACAAAAAAAAAAACAAACAACAAACAAAAAAAGTAGGTAAATTCATTTAACTTTCAATTGTAATAAAATATCAAAGTGGATACATCAGAAAATCAAAAAAGATGGAGAGAGCTACTAACCAGTACTATTTGTCTAATTACATAGCTTCTCATCATTCAGATTTTTCTAAAATAAGAATGTATTTTATAAGCAACAAAACCAATACAGACATTCTATTTGGAGGAATAAACAGCTTTTTGTTAGGTGAACAGTTATCTCCTAGTATTTTGTTTATGATTTTGTTATTGTTTTCTAAAATGTGTTATGATTTTTCTTAAACACATAAAGCCTTCTTCTGTTTCAATGTTCCACATAATAGCTGCCTTTCAAATATAAATACTAACTACTATCTTTACATACCTGGTGGAGGAACCATCACCCCACGGTCCTGTTCCCATGGAGGTGACAGAGATCCAGTGTCAGAAGGTGCTCTGTGAGGATCAGTTAACCTGTCGTAGCTTGAGTTTCCTCTTTCATTGCTAATCTGATGGTCCAGAGGATTCTCTAAGCCTCTTGAGCCTAATTAAAGGGGGGAAAAAAGACATACAAATTTGTTTAATCTTAAAAAGCATAGGATCTAACACAAATAAAATCCTTAAAAAGCAAATACTGATTCTAATAAAGTTTCTCTAAGTTCATAGTCTCTAGACTACAATTCTATCCTAACAAAGTCATTTCTAGGGAAAAATAATTTTGCCACATACATAAACAAATAGTTGTCTACAAAATTCATTTTTAAATGCTATCATCACCATCATTTTACAGTTAAAATCAATGGTTAAATCATAAATATTAAGTCTGAAAAATAAGGATATAGAAAGTATTCTAGATATAATAAGATAATTATAAAATTAAGTTTTTGTTGCTTAAACTAATATGTCAATAGTCAAAATGAGCATGATTCTTTTCAGTCATCTAAGGGGCTACATTCTAGTTTAATAACTCTTCCACTACTCAAAGTACTTTTTAGAACAACTCATTTGGAAATGCAATTTACTCAAATTATCTTAAAAGACATGTCAAAAGTTCCTTCTCAATGTTATAACATGACTCTAGTTCTGCCCCAAAATTATTTTAACAAATTTAATTAAAACATTTATACATACCCGATAAACCTAGCTCTAAATGGCTTCTAAGTAATGTCTACATATCACATTCACATTCACTCACATTCACATTCAACAAGAGAACTCATAAGCCCTGAAGGCAAGTCTTAAAAAAATTTCAAAACAACAGCACTGTTGAAATAAACACTAAAAATGTAACATTCATTTGGATAAGAAGAACTGGCCTGCTAATGTTTATAAAGGGTAGAATCATTATACAGCTCCCATTTTAGGTGGAGGATGCACCTCAGTGGTACAGTGCTCTCCTAATATGTGCAAGGCCCTGAGTTTGATCTGCAGCACTGGAGGGAATAAAAAAGATACCCTCCTATGGTCACAAGAAGAATAGTACCTTAATCAAAATCTCACATTCAATTAAAATGAAAAAGTAAGTATAAAAACTATTTTAGGCATTCAATGCAAATATATTAACACCTTACTTGTCTGTCATTGAGGGGGCAGTTAGTTATCTGAAAATTCTATTTTTCAGAAAATAAAAGCCTATTATTCTTTTCAATGAACAACTTTTTAAAAAGTTCTTTTTAATAAAAATCTAACTAAAGTGTTTGTCTCATTTTAATACCTTCTTTCAAAGGAGAGACCAAAACTAATTCAACCTTTTCTTGGTAACTTGTAAAAAATCAGCAGAAGCATTGTTTTTTAATATATTGTAATCATTTTTTTAAATTTCCAGCTACTCGTTTGTAGGCTCAGGTCAAACTAGCTTTTATGTCAGAAGGTCAAATACAGTGCCATTTTTTTCCTTACTACTAAAATCCTCAAATCCTTCCTTAGCTTTTCCTTCTAATTATAAGAAACTAAATAATGTTCAAGAATCAATTAGGCTTATTTTATTTCTAGATTGATTAAAAAAGTTTTAGACACATTAAAGTTTGCCCTGACTGCTCACAACCAGAGGATCAAAACTATGGGCAACTAACCAGGGAAAATTTCTCAGGGTTAAAAACTTTTTAAGAAGACTAAAAGCTACATGCAATTTACTCTAAAACAGTTTTCATTATACTCACTCTTATTCAAACATATATCTCATGCAAACTTTCAAGTTTAAAAAGATAATAAAAGTAACTAAAAAGAACAATCTTCATCCTTCTTTGATAGGTTACAGAAATTCAGTCCAAAGCAACTCTTACATGGCCTGCTGGTAACTTACCAATAACTTCTGTAGCTTTTAAAACAAATAGTAAATCACCTTTGCAAATAATCTAAACACTCTGTGTCCAGAAAGCAATGAAATAGGAGAGGAAAGTAATTTAAATAGAAGAGGAGAAATCAAAGGTAATTTTTACACTTATTTCAAATAATCAATTGACTACAAGCAATCCTTGACTTATGTAATTGAACTCCCAGTTCACATGTGCAGTTTAGCCAATTATATTCTACCCTATAGCTTTTTCAGATTGCTACCTGCTATCTGTGTATGGTATGTGAAACTTGTCTTAATCAGCATTCTTTTCCAATGAAACAGAATAAGACTGAAAATATCACAAATCATCAAAACTATAATGGTAAGTACTATTTCATGTAATGTTTCCATTACTGCATATCCACCATGATGAATGTAATCATTATGTACTGCAAACATGTTCTAATAAAAATAAAAATGAAAAAGAATATTATGTTGGCCCATAATGTGGCTGGATATAGAACACATTTCTTATTTTAAGTCAAAGTTAAAAATGGGAGTGAGGAGTGACAGCACTGAGACCTAAGCTTACATAGCAGACACAGGAATTTCAAAATCAGTGCCTAGTGCACCCCAGGGCTCCACCTATCACCCAGTCTTCAGCACAGACTGCAGGGCTTCCAGCTCCAAACAGAAAGCAAGCATGGGCTCTCTCTGCAGTGAGGTGAGGCCAGGCTGTGGGCCCAATCTGCAGAGAACTGGGAGGTGGGAAGGATCAGCTCTAAGATATAAACAGGAAATGGAGAAAGGGAGACTATCTACTGACTGTAAAGCAGGAAATTTTTCTCATATTCATTGAGGGCAGCTCCAAAGAAAGGGTTCCAAAAAAAATTAGGAATGACAGCTTCATTGAGGAAGTACATGCCTCAGAAACTAAATGAATAATATCAGCTGGATGTGATGACACATACCTATCATGCCAGCACTCTGAGAGGCAGAGGCAGGATTGCTGAGTTTGAGCCCAGCCTGGGCAACTTCAGGATATCCTATCTCAAAATAAAAAGTGTTTAAAAGCTGGAGATGTATCTTAGTGTGAAGGATCTTGATTCGATTCCCTGTACCAAATTAATTTGAGTACCTAAATTTTGATATGTTTTCTTTTATTTGAAGTTTCTATATAGACTATACTTCATGTTCTGAGCTGAAATTCAATCTGCTAAAAATCACTGACAAAAAGGGTGAGGACACTTCACTTGTGTAGAACACCATCAGCTATTATGAAACACGGATTTGAGACTAAAAACCTAAGACTTTTGATTTTGGAACAGACCCTATGTTTTTTAATTTGCCCACAAATCCAGGAAAATCTTTAAAGCAATTTGACAAAGTGAAAAAACAGGTCAGAAAATAAAAGAGGAAACTTCAAGGCAAACAAGTTTTCTAAGGCAACAGAGCCTTTGTGACACCAGAGTGACAATAAGGAGGCAAATGTAGAAAGATCAAGAATTATGCTTGGAGCATGAAGGCACACAACTGTAACCCCAGCACTCAGGAGGCTGAGGTGGGGTCGCAGTGAGTTTGACGCGAGCGTGGGCTACTGAACTACACGGCAAGACACTGTCTCAAAAAAAAAAAAGAGCTATGCTTGGGCTTGAGATACCTACAGAAATTCTCAAAAACATGTAAGGGCAGTGTGGGGGGACACAACCTGGGTTCTCAAAGTTATGAACAAATGATTTAGTTCTCCTTAGAGAATCCCATAAAACTCTGCTTAAAAGGGTACCTCTGAACTCCATTCTAAAAACAAGACATCCTTTCACTTCATGATTTTTAAACAGAGAGATAATAGTAATAGAGTTTAAAAATTTTTTAAATTCTACATTGTAATAATGCTTTATCAAAACAAAATTTGATGTTAGGTTAAGCAGCTATTCTATGTATTCTTTAAAACATTTTATACTACATAGCTTTTTAAAAATAAGATATGCATGAAACCCATTATCAAAATATTATCTAGTAAAGGCTCAATAACCTTTATTAAAAATGGTTAAGCTCAGAAATATTGAAATTTTGAAATTTTCTGGATTTTGAAATATTTGCAGAGACGTAAATGGCTGAGCATCTCAAATTTGAAAATATGAAATATGAAATGCTCCAAAATCCACAACTTTTTTAGTGCTGTGCCCAAAAAGTTCCAGATTTCAGAGCACTTTGGATTTCGGATTTTTAGAGTTGGAATGCTCAACTTATATGACACTGTTCCCAAGAGAAAAATATATTAAAATTAGATGTTGCGGAGATCCTTTCTAAAAACAAGTAACCCACAATAAGTGCAAGGAATGCCTGTATTTTCCAATTGTTTGTTTTACAAGTTATTTTAAAGGTAAATTGAGATTAAAAAAATATAAAGTAAGGAAGAAATTTAGAGAATAAAAATGTTTAAACAATATACCTCTTCCTCCTCCCCCTGGAAGCAAAGGTGAGAGTCTGAGTGGACCCTCCAACAAGGTTGGAGGAGAGAGAAAAGCTCTCGTCTCAGATGAAGGCCGACCCAATGGTGACGGACCATATGGGGAATGCTCTGGAATAATTAAAACAGCATATTTAAATTCATAGTTTCAGTTAGCTACACTATAAAGATAGAATCCCATTTCAACAATTACCATCAGGACAACCTATTGCCAACTTTAGTTTAATCCAAGTGCTAAATGCTATGCCTTTGGTTTTGCTAATATAGGACTGAATTAAATAGCGAATCTCTATTTTTGAAGTCTACCCAAAAGACATTTAATAAAACATTACCCTATTGGTAATTAATATACTTACATAACCATAGAGGTTAAACAAAGGATATAGGCGATATTTTGGAGTAATAGGATTTGGGAGCATAAAATATGCTGTTTTGTTGTTAATGGCAGTGTGGTTATAGATAATTCAGCTGCTGAGGGTTGCAATATGGCAGTGATCACTTAAATCAGGACCAGATATACTGTGTTTGGGCCATGAAATGTTCGATTGAAGCTCACATTTTTCTTTTTAAAGCTCAGATTTTGAAATCCAGAAAAATGCATAAAATGCTCTGAAGCATCAGCAATTACATTTGATTTCTTACCAGTAAAAAAAACCAGTCTCAATATATACTAATTTATCAGAAAAATTACTCTCTCTACAATCCACAGAACCAAGAGCCCTAATATTTTACAAACTCAATCACTCTCAAAATAATGGTTATGCTTTAAAGATCAAAAACCAACACACAAACCAGACTTAAAATACCACTGAAAAAATATTTTTAAACATGATAAATCTTACAAAGGGCATCTGTTACGATACTCAGCTGAGTTAGAACAAAAGATCAAAGCATTTTTTATCCTTCCTGAAGCTTCTGCATTGGATTTAGACAAAAATTTCTTCTGTATACTACCTCCACTCCAAACTGTTACTACTTGAAAGTCATAATAATCTGATAATTTTTAAATGTAGAAGTAGACTTTTTTTTGTACTGGGGATTGAACTCAAGAACTTGAGCTTGCAAGGCTGTCGTGGTGCCCCTGAGCTAAATCCCCAGCCTAGACTTTCATTTTAAGGAAAGTTGACCCTCAAGTAATTTTTATAAATTTCCAAAGGTTAGTAAAATGAATTCTATTCATTTAAGTATAGATTTACTTTCACTGCTACAAGAGCTTAGTTCCAATTTAACCAAAACTATTCTTAAAAATTTAAACTATATGAAATTGTTTGAGATCACTGAAGATGCTATCTCAAAATAAAAGGATCGAAATAGTAAACATATCTTTCAAAGAATTGGTTCACAGGATTATTATCAGATTATTAAGTTTTCCCCACCTTTTAAACAAATAATAAAAAACAGACTTTTAATTCCCATTTTTATAATCCAAGCAAATTAAAAAGTATAGTTAAATATGTAAACAGTCATAATGCCATTCCATTTAAGTACTTTTTATTCATTTATTCGCCCCCTCAAATAATGAGTACCTTACTAAACTGCCAGCTGCCTGGCTTTTCAAGAAGATAATATAGTACTAGAAACATATTATCTTATAGAATCCCACTAAGAAGATATCGATAATTTTTTTTATTGCTAGGGAAACAAATCCCAGAACTTGGAATTTTTGAGAGCTTAGAATACAATTCCAGCTCTAAAACCTAAATTAATTATAAATAATAGTGTTAGTTTATGCTAATATAAACTTTATCACAATATATAAATATAATAAGTATTTTAAATTAGGGGTGAAAAGACTACCTCTGCCAAATGCTGTATTCGGAACATCAAGTGCATAAGGATCTTTTTCTAAAAGTTCAAATTTAAACTCTGCTTCAGTTAATCTGTAAATAAAGAACAAACATCGCTAAGTCACTTATACAAGAGAAGCACCCACATTTCAAGAAAAATGCCACTGCCAAGCAAAGCTAATCTACCCTCAAAACTGACGCACAGAAATAGACCCTCTATTCTGAACCAAACACCTTGCTATATCTCTCATTACTTATTTTGGGGCAACCAGTTCCTTGTTGCTTATGGACAGTGATGTTCTGCTGAGATTTGGGACTGTTTCGTTTCTTCTTCAAAATTGGACTATAATGTAGAGTAAGTACTGTCTCATAGAATCCAAATTTTTAAAATGGAACAGCCAGTTCAAATTCATCATTTTATAACCAAGAAAACTAAAGCTAGGAGATTAAATGACTTCTGACAAATGAAAGCACCAGGATTAAAACACAGCACTCCCAAGGAGCTACACCTTCCATTGTAATGTGACCCAGATGATTCCAATCATAAAATAAAATTGGAAATCCCACTAACTCCTCCTACTTCACTTGGAAACTTTTGTCTTAAAAATGTGAACTTTCAAATGAATCTTATTCTAGCTCTTGACCATCAGACCTGAAATAAAACATGTACTCATTTTATTTTAAACTTCTGTCAGAAAAGACAAAAGGACAACTAATATTCAATAATGTTGATCATACAGTCTGTCAAGAAAATATAAAACTCTCATAAGACTGTTATTATCCTCATAGGAAAGCATTTAGTCTTCCCTTTTACTATACACTTTCAATCTCCCTTTTATTTTATTACTGTACAACAATGCCATCAAATACTAAAACCAGGGAACGAGATAATAACTACTTGTTCTATCTTAGCCAAAAAAAAAGAAGAAAATGATGATACTCTAAGCATTACTATTATCAAAAAGATTACTGCTTTTTATTTTCTTCCTTTGTACCTCCCTGTACCTACACTGGTTTAAAAAAATAAAAATTTTTTTTCAGTATTGGGGATTGAACTCGGGACCCTGTACTTATGGGGCAAGTGCAGTGCCACTGAGCTAAATCCCCGGCCCCTAAAAAAAATTTTTTTTTTTTTTTGGTTTTGTGAGACAGGGTCTCACTGTATAGTTGAGACTGACCTGGAACTCTCTATGTAGCCCAGGCTGGTCTAGAACTCACAGCGATCCTACTGCCTCAGCCTCCCGAGTGCTGGGATTACAGGCATGCGCCACCACGCCCAGCAAAAATTTTTTAAATTGTACTTTTTACAGACGAATAGGTGAATAGTTTCTTTCAAGTTCTATTTCAGTGACCTTTTCAGGACAAGTATTACCTATAAAACTAAAATATTTTGCAACCAGATATGCTAGTACAATCCAAGTTTTCTTATTTATCCTTAAAAAGTCTTATACAATTAATAAAAGTAGTGACTAATTTTAAGTTTTAAAGTGCTCCTTGTAAGCTACTTACTTTTGTCTGTTGTAAGCATTTTCTTTCCTTAACTCATTCAGGTTTCTTTCAGCAGTCCGAGCTGCCAACTTAAAGAAAATAACACCTTTTTAAAAAATTTTATACAAACTGAAAATGAAATAATAGCATAAATACCACAGTGATATCATAGTGACGGCATAAAAATAGCACAATCACCTAAGTATGCATTTCATAAGCTCAATGTAAAACACTTTAAATCTAGGAAAAAAGAAATTTGAGACAGGATTTTGCTATGTAGTTCAGGCCGTCCTTGAAATGCTACGCAGCATAGGCTGGCCTCAAACTCATGGCACTCCTCCTGCTTCATCCTCCTGCTTCAGCCTCCTGCATGCTGAGATTACAGGCATGCACACCACACCCAGCTAAAATTAGGAAAATATTCAAACTGGAATAAATTTCATGTAAGCAAAAGTATGAGCCTGAGACTAGAGTTAATCATGTGTCCAATGAAATTTATTGTCTAGATGCGAAATCATGGATTAGCATTATTTGGTGATACCCAGCTAACACAGTAAGAGCACACAGCTTAGGGCAATGGAAATGGCAATTCAGAGTCACTCTGTCTGGCAGCCCTCACTATGAAACAATGTCATCATGAATGGAGGAAAATCTGTGTGACTGGGAAATCATAAAGGTCTAAAATAAGTTCACAGCATGCTTGTACAGGTCATTTTTTACATGACTGAATATAATCAACGTTGCACATCTGTTAAGTACACAGATTCATACAGATAGTATTCCTCTAGGTATTTTATATTTGTTTAATGATATTTTTATTTAATAAAAGATTAAAATCAGAGCACAGATCAGCACAGTGACACACGACTATAATCCCAGTACTTGGGGGGGCTAAGGCAGAATTGCCACAAGTTCAAGACCAGCCTGGGCTACATGAATTCAAGGCCAACCTGGAATGAGACCATATTTAAAAAAAAAAAAAAAACAAAAAAACTTTTAATTGGAATATATATACACATATATATATATGTGTGTGTATATATATACATATATATATTATAGAAAACAAAGCTTATGTTTATAATAAATGCCAAGAACATGCGATATTCCAAAATAATTGTTGACAAAAGCCAAATATGTACAGTCTACTGTATCTTATGTTTCCCAATCATTCTGCAGACTCTGGAGATTATATGCAGCAGCATGTAGAACATTAGCCTGGCCAAACTAATGCAATTCAATGGGCTTATGAGGTGTGATCAAAAACTACAGTGAATGTTTAAATAAAATTTTTACTCAGTGGTGTTGCAGCCCACCTCACAAGCACAAGGCCCCAAATTTGATCCCAGGTATCAAAAAAAATTTTTTTTTAAACTTCATTACAGTTGGAGGCCAGGGATTCACCTCAGTGGTGCCACTGCCTCACAAGTGCAAGGTCCCAAGTTTGATCCCCAGTACCAAAAAAAAGAAAGAAAAAACTTAATGATAGTAAAGACAATTGCCACTAATCATCCCTCTCAAACTACTTCCCCTTACTTTTTTTTTCTACATCCAAAGGTTTACTTTATAAAAATACAAAGTGATAAACTATTATGAATGAAAAGAAGACCACTGTTAGTGAAGTCTAAAGCTTATATACTTGTAGTCACCCTTGCTTTAATACTCTTATCCCATCATTCTTGTCATTTTCTAAAGCAGTTCTGTGAGTTCTCTTTTGTGTCTTTTTGTGCCTGCCTGTATGTCCTGATTGATTCAAAACATTTACAGCAATTTCTGTTAAATAAAAACATTACAATGTGCCCTGATAATACCTCTGGCACTATACAACTTCTTTGCAAAAGTCAAAATGATCAGACTTCTGGGAAGATAGTGGAGGGGTGAGCAGCAAAAAGAGGGCCTCTCCAAGGTTTGGTGTCCAGGCACTGGAATAAAGCAACGTGAGGAAGAAAAGGAGGAGGGAAGTAGGTCACTGGGACCCACGAAGGATCTGAAGCAGAACTGAAGCCCACAACGAGAGCAAACAGAGTCCTCAGCAAAGAAGAACAGGCAGCACCTCCTACCTGAGTCCAGACTGTGGGGAAAGGGCAGCTCAAACCTGAAGACAAATCGTGACTACTGTCAACTCCAGAAACCTTCACAGAGAAACACACCAGTGGAGTGGAGCAGTGGATGCAGCAGACTGCAGCGGTAGGTACTTGTTGGGGTTTTGATGTCCCCCAGGAGAGAGAGATCAGCCAGTAGCCGCCTTGGAGAAGGGCCAACTGAGCTCAGAATTCAGGAGAGCAGCTGGCTAGTTTCATCTAGTGGCTTCCAGTGCCAATGTCAGAGTTCAAATTTGCAGGTCAGGGAGCTCAGTTTGAGCAGTTGGGGAGTTGGGATTCTCTACTACCCAGACATAAAGCTACAGCTGGCTTGCTGGGATTAATCAGCTCAGATCTATATACTGCCCACATTTGTCTACCAGTGACAGCAGAGACATACCCTGAAGTGGACATTTTTGTTCTTTTTTTCCATTTTTCTCTTTTCTTGTTTCTGTTTTTGTTTTGTTTTTTTCTTGATTGTTTTTCATATGAGTGTGAACACAGTTTCTAGGTTTTTTTGTTTTGTTTTGTTTTGGTTTTTTTGTGCTTTGTTCTGTTCTTGTTTTTATTTCTTCCTTCTTTCTTTCTCTCCTGTCTTATTCACCAGTTTCTCAAAATTTGCAAGATCTTCCTTCGCCCTCCAGACTTGCTTCTAATCTTTTACTCTTCTATTTCTTTTAAATTCTATTACTTAAGGGTATATTCACTATATTGAGAGCTTATTTACTGAAAACATTTTTCTGGTTTTAGATTTTGTTATATAACCATAAATCTAGTTCATATATTTAAAGGTGGCACATTAATAGTTACCACAGTTTGTCATTTTCTAGGCTATGTTTGATGCTACTGTTATTGCTGATTGTACTATTAGCCAAAGTGACATAATTTTTCCAATCAGTTGTTTTTCCTGGTATACCAAGACTGAGATGCCTAAGGGTCATGAAACATACTATAGGCCAGTGGCAAAGAATCAGGGGCTATGCCAAATAGGCAGCAACTTCTCAGCCCCCATAATTTGAACAGGTAGGATCCTGCAACAAACTCAAAACCTAAAAGCTAGCTGTAGCAGGAAGACATCTCTGAGAAGTAGTCATTTCCTAAGGGTTCTAAATACTAGCAATAAAGGTATTTGCTATAAGTCATCTATGAGCATCAACCCAAGAATTACACACACAAAAAAAAAAAAGAAATGAAAAGACACTCGAACAAGGTGCAAACCCAGACTTCCAGCTCACCAAAAGCAAATCCAGGGGGCAGGCAATGAGGTGGAACAATCCAACAGTCATTCACCTGGACTTTCTGAAATGGTAACATTGGAAGTAAGAAAGCCGATGTAAGAAGCTCTAGAAAAAAGCAAATCATAAATAATTTCTCAGATAACTACAGAGATTGTGACCATAATGAAAGACATAATATTGACTCTAGAGAAAATATAGATTTTTTTCTAAACAGAGGAGCTTCAGAAAATGATGGAAAACATGAATGCCCTACATAGGAAAGAAATGGAATCCATGAAACATACTCAAGCAATATCTAAGAATTAAAAAGTATATTGAAAGTATACACAATAGCATGAGCCAAGGTGAAGACAGAATATCAGAAACAGAAGACAGGGCTGCAGTTAGCAGACTTTTTTCTAAGAAAGATTTCTTAAAAATAGCAAGGGTTTGTGAGAAATCAATCCGACAGACACAAGATGATGCAAAGAAGAATAACATAAGATCAATCACAGTCAATGAAAAAGTAGGAGATAGTGCAAATAACGTTTTAAAAAACTGTTCACTGAAGTAATATCAGAAAACTTCCCAAACAAGGAAAAAGAATTTGACATACAGATAAGTCAAGCATACAGAATTCCAATTATCAATGATCCAAAAGAAAAATCTAGTAGCTTTTTTGTTTTGTTTTGTTTTGTTTTGTTTTTTTGATGCCAGGGACCAAACTCGGGTCCTTGTGCTTGCAAGGCAGGCAGCAGAACCACTGAGCTAAATCTCCGACCCTAACAGAAAAATCCATACCTAGGCATAGAGCAGTCAAGATTGCAGAAATCCAACACAAGAACAGAATATTAAAAGCTGTTAGAGAAAAGAAACAAATTAACTACAAAGGGGCCAGGGATTTAGCTCAGTGGTTCTGCCGCCTGCCTCACAAGCACAAGGACCCAAGTTTGATCCCTGGTACCAAAAAAATAACACAAAGGAAAGCCCACCAGATCACTGCAGATTTCTCAACACAAATCCTCAAGTCAAGGAGATCTTATAGTGAAGTATTTCAAGCCCTAAAAGAACCTAGACTGATGTGCCCCGCAAAATTATCTTCCAAAATTTATAAAGAAATAAGATACTTCCATGATAAAGAGCACCTGAGGAAATTCATGAATACCAAATAGCACTCCAAAATGTTCTGAAGGATATTCTAGAAAGAGATAAAGCACATTACAACTCCATGAATCCCAACAGAATGAATTCATCAGGCAAGGCAAGAAATTAAAGGGGGGAGGGGACAACAGGAAAATAACATGACAAGGGTAAGTCAACATATTATCAGTTACAACCACCAATGTTAATGGTCTCAATTCACAAGTCAAAATAAACAGACTGGCAGAATGGATCAAGAACCAAGATCCAACATATGCTGCAATGAAGTCAAAATGACCACGAAAGGTAAGCATTTTGAATTTATTCATGACATTAAAATAGTCAGGAGAGCAAAACTAAAAATATTTCTCAAGAAAGAACTTCCAGAACTGCTTCAGAAAGTGGTAAGAATGATGGAATAAGTGTGCTCAAAGTAAGGAGAAATCTTCTGAGTGACATTAATGGCAATGTGTCTTTTACTGTAATAAATTATTTTTAATTTAACGTTAATCATATATTTGTACAAACCTCAAAGCATACAAAAGTAAGCAATTAAGTCTAGAACCATCTCTTTACAAATAAAAGTAATTATCAAATTCGCTTTCGCTCAAAATTGTGAACTACACTTTAGAACTGACTTTATACTTTTTTTTCTTGTTCCTTTTTCTTTTTTTTCTGGTATTGGAGATCGAACTCCACTTGTAAGGCAGGTGTGGCACCACTCAGCTAAATCCTCAGTTCCACAACTGACTTTAGAAATGATTTTAATTGGCCAAAGAATAAACTATGTAAACATTTACAAAAATCACAGGTTAAATTATTTTAGCACTCACTATCAAAATTATTCCACGTGTATATCTATTTCCAATATGTAATGATACAATCAATTTTATTCTAAAAAAAAGTTACACTAGTAAAATTTTAGTAAAATAAAACATTCTTTTAACTGTTAACAATGTAGAACCAAAATTACTTCTTTTTTTTTTTTTTTTTCTTTTTTGGTACCGGGAACTGAACTCAGGACCTTGCACTTTTGAGGCAGGCACAGCGCCACAGAACTAAATCCCCAGCCCCCAAAATTACTTCTGAATGTGCTCTTATATCTAAATTCATCTAGGTAATATAGACAAATAAAAGTGATTCTGATAATTATTTCTTTGTATATATTCTGAACTTTTAATACAAATTCATCACTAATGAAATTAAGTGATTTTTAAAAACCACTATCTTTAAAGCCGGGCATGGTGGAATACACCTGTAACCCCGGTCCTCGGGAGGCTGAGGCAGGAGGATCACCATGAGTTCAAAGTCAGTCTGGGCTACATAATGAGTTCAATGCCAGCCTGAACTAGCAAGACTCTATCTCAAAAAAAAAAAACTCTTTATTTTCACCTAATTTAAATGAACAGCATAACTTCTGAAAAGAATTTGACAAAAGAACCTTAAAAGAATTTAAAACTTACCCAATTATCATGTGCTTTTTTCTCATGGGAAATGATCTAAAAAATAAAGTTATAAAAATATTTACAATTATTTCTCTTGAGTAAAAAACCACTTGTATCTACAACTACAGTTTTAGGGGATACTGGGGATCAAACTTATGACCTTGTGCTTTTGAGGCAGGCACGGTGCCACTGAGCTAAATCCCAGGCCCCACTATAATTTATCTTTGTAGAGACAGTAAGCATTTTAAAGCAAATTTACTCTATCATACTTTTAAAACAAAAATTGAAAATACAAACAAGATTTTTGTCTAGTAAGGTTCTATTTTTTGCAGTAATCAACTCAACAAGAGATTCTCACTAACAGATAACCAGCCTGGCTAACTATGAGACCCCAATGTTGATATGCCATATAATTACATTCTCAAGGAAGAAGGGAACTTTAAATATGATTTTGTTTTAAATCTCAGAATCCTTGGCTACCTAGAAATGGTCCACAGTCAAATGCCACATCTAAAGAAAAGTATAAAGCTGGTCAAAAAATTGTATTCCTGCATTAATTCAAGCAAATCAGAATTTCTCTTTTAATTACACTTACACACACACACACACACACACACACACACACACACACACACACGTACCTGCCCTTGATAAGACTGAATGGTTCTCTCCAATTCTGCTTCAAGATCTTTGGCTCGTATTCTAAAAGGAACAAATAATTATTCTACCACAGTATTAAAATGTAATAAACACTCTACTAAAAAAATATTAAAACATTCTCAAATGCTCTATTTGTGTAAAAAATGGTTCCATAATCAATATTAAGAAATTACCTTTAAGCAATTCTAAAGAATATTTTTTCCTGATCTAATTTTAACCTTAAGCTACCAGTTGGTTTTATCTGAAGCAAAGTTACACAAAGGTTTATACAGTACTTATACCCTTTTTTTTTTTAAAGAAGCATGATCCTGGAAGATGCCTGTAATCTTAAGAGAATTCTAAGAAATTAACAACTTTTGCAATCTAAAATATTACTGATTACCTTTGTAAGACTAACAAAATAATTCCTCCTTTTCATTAAAAACAAGTTTACTCTTCCTAAGTTAAACCAAAGTATCACAAGTACATATTTTGAACACTATTATGTCCTATTTCTTTTTTATTTCCTTCTTGGTTCTAGTGAAGATTCAATGAAGTTAGTTTAATAAATATTGTCAGGATGTTAATTGTGGCTTATTTTTCTTTTTATAGCACACTGTGGTACTCATTAATATTGTATATATTCTCATTTGAACCAAACAGTAGAAGATCTTAAAATGAATGTGTTCCAATGATTGTAACTGTACTGTATACCTACAAAGTACCAATAAAATCAATAAAAAAGAAACAAAGAATGCATTTATAAATTTCTTGATATTAACATAAAATAGAATTGTCCATATTCAAATGTAAGGTTTAAAAATGACATATCCTTAAAAGAAAATATTTTCTGCATACTTGTATAAGAGCAACAAATCTGAATGAAAGCAATGAAATAAAATTGTCATTGGTTTTTGTTTTCTTTTTTTCCTATTATTGAATTTTTAAATACTTTACTAATTTCCCTCCCCGCAAAAAGAGTATTTTATACCTATAGGTCTCCAGCTCTTCAGTGGCATGGCTGATCCTTTCATCCAGTTTAGAAAGTTTTTCCTCTTTTTCTAACCGACAATTTTCCTCTACTGTTAATTTCCTTAAAACAAAGTATTTTATTTCTTTTAATACATGTCACAAAATAATCAACATCTTTTTAATTGTATCAAAACTGGTGTTTCCCCTAAAACAATTTGTAAAATATCACTACAAATATTACATGCAAGAAAAAAAGAAGTAAATATTTCTGGTGTGGATGGAATGCTATAAAATCAAAATTGTATTATATCAAACAGTACTACTGAAATTATGATTTCAAGAATTTTCTATATTAATTTATCAGAAAATAAGGTTATCAAAGGTAAATGCTAATAACAACTATTACGACTATGTAATATTTATCAAGCCTTCTTATATAAAAAGCATTGGGCTGGGGATTTAGCTCAGTGGTGCCGCTGCCTGCCTCACAAGTACAAGGTCCAGAGTTATCCCCAGCAGCAAAAAAATTAATAAATAAAAATAAAAATAATTAAAAGCATTAAATTTGTTAGATAAAATGTTACCACCAGCCGGGCGTGGTGGGGCATGCCTGTAACCCCAGCCCTCAGGAGGCTGAGGCAGGAGAATCGCTGTGATTTCGAGACTAGCCTGGGCTACACAGTGAGTTCCAGGTCAGTCTCAACTACATAGTGAGACCCTGTCTCAGAAACAACAACCCCCCGCCCACCCCCCCACACAAAAAAAAGTTACCAACTAATAAACTATGTTTCAGTATTTGTAAATTGGTGATTAAAACTAGGGATTAGGCTTCCGTACCATTTTAATAATAACAACAACAATAGAATAAACACAAAGTGAATAATATTAGAAACAGTACTAGTCCTACTTACTAGTTCTTAGTTCATTTTTGGTTTCTTGAGACAGAGTCTCACTATCTAGCTCAAACTGGACTTTAAATCACTTTGTAGCCCAGGCTGGCCTCAAACTCATGGTAATCCTCCTGCCTCACCCTCTCAAGTGCTGGAATTACAGGAATGCGGCACCATGCCCAGCTATTCTTAGTTCTTTCAATACCAGTAACAAGTAATTTATTGAGCCATTAGTATGTGCCATTACTATAGCATAGTATTGAGCCATTCCAGTGCTGGTGATCCCATGGCATGCCACAGCAGACTGTCTGCATCATTGAAAGCTCAAAGGTTTACCATCAATGCTACAGGCCTTTACAGCGTTATCATATTTAATTACTACAATACCTCTGTAAGTACTATTATTATTATTCCTATTTTATATAAATGAAGATGAAACAGAAAAACTTAATACAAGGTGCATTACTTAACAACAAGGATGTGCTGAGAAACGTGTCACAGGGGCAATGTAGCCCCATTATATGAACATCACAGAGTGTACTTATATAAACTGACAGTTATGATGTCACTCAGTAGCATACTCTTATGAGACCATCTTCATGCACACAGTTTATAGTTGACCAATATATTCTGCGGTGTTTCGCTGTAACTGGACCGAGGCAGAGAGCTCACAAGTCCTCTATACTACCCATATTGCTTCACATAATATCTACCATTAATGCTGTTCTCTCAAGAAATATTGAACAACACAAGAAAACACATATGGAGTGCTAAATAGATGTCTCCTCTCCTTTATGAACTTTGTAAAGGAACATTACAAATTACTGAAGAAATACCATAGGGCATAAATAAACGTTTTATATTCTATACACTACACGTCTATCACTTAGAAAGTACTCCCTAGGGTAATCTTTATGTTAAGTCTTTCAAGAAAATAAATGCCTTAGGAAAAGCATGAAAGTAAAATGGGCACAGGTAAGGAAGAGACGTGTGTCTCTGCAGACCAGATACTGAAGATGCCAGCAATTCTTAGACACTCCTCCCACTGAGACTTGAGCTCTATTTATTTATACTCCCCTCGATTTTGAGAAGGCCTATCAAAGGTAGAAATTACACCTCAAAAGGAAACCCAATAAGACAAGTGAAGAACAATCATACCTTCACATATTTAAAGCAACATACTAAGTTCTACATTTTCACTTCTCTGCAACATTAAATTTGGAAAAGTGTTAATAATGTAATATATGTCATTAAAAACCATTAAGTCACCATACAGAAAACAAATGAACTATGTTACATTGTACACAGGCAAAAATTGAAATCTAACACTTTAATGGCTCTGTCAAGTTTCTATATTTTACTCTGAAGAATAACTACTAGCATAATTCAATGAATTTGGGTAGTAAGTAGTTTAAGAATATAACATATAATATTGGGGGAATTCAAAACATTTCAAATGAATGAATAAAATCATAATGCAAATAACACAAACAGGTATGATATTATTCAGCCTCTTTCTTGCTTTGAAAATCTATAGGAAATAACTTTCTTTGACATTTAAATATATCTAATTAAAGTCCCATATCAACCATATATAATTTTATTACCAAAAAATACACTTAGAAGAATTTCTGTGATCTCAAATAATCTCTTTATGTCCAAAATGTATTTCCAATATTGTGAAACCTCAGTTCACAAACTTAATTCTTTCCATGATTCTGGTCACAAAGTGAATCAGACAAGACCCAAATCAAATTTTCTATAAGGTTAACATTGAACCTAGCCACTGAATTTGATTTGTTTCTCATCCAATTCAGTCTACGACCAGAATCATGGAAAGAACTAAATTCGTGAACAGAGGTACCACTGTATATTGTATTCTAAAAGGAATGGTCTATTCTTAGGTTTGCTGACTGAAACCCTGAGGCTATACTTCAACTCCTCCATTTAGTAAAATTTATCTCTCTTCCAAAATGACCCAAAGGTCCACAATGAATGTTAAATTTTCATCTTTAAATTTAATCCGAAGCACTGAAACAGAGAGAGAGCTTATCAGTGAATGAGCCTAACCAAACCCCAACACCCTCATCTCAACGGAGCATTAACATTTTCTACCACCTTGTAAGTTTATACAGTAGGTTCTATAATTTATTCTCATTATGTTCTATGAAGTCACCACAAGCCCTGAATTAGCAAATACTAGATCTCGGCAAAGGATAAGATTAGGATCCTATTAGCCTCTGGTCACAACTTTTTCAATCAATATACAATCTTGCTTCATGTATTATTTAAATGCATACTGTGGATTTACAAACACTGACCTCACCACCAACAGTACTAGAACTCATGCCTAAACCAAATTTACATGGCATGTATTTTCCCCATAAAATATATCACAGTCTTCTTGTACTTCAGAGTACTAGACAGCACTTCAACATTATGCTTGGGGAGCATTTTAAACGTTTTTTAAAAGCACAAAAATGTGAAAGATGTGCCACTAAACACTACAAAAACAATCCCTACCTACAGATTAAAAGCTGAAACTAGAAAGGCAGAGGGCTGCCTCACTCAGCCTCAGGTGGGCAATTTATTTTGTTGTTGTTGTTGTTGTTTGTTTGTTTGTTTGAGACAAATGTAGCTGAGACTCACTATGTAGCTAAGACTGACCTGGAACTCACTATGTCGCCCAGGCTGTTCTCGAACTCTCAGCAATCCTCCTGCCTCAGCCTCCCGAGTGCTGGGATTACAGGTGTGTGCCACCACGCTGGGATCAGGTAGGCAATTTAAACTTTTTTACGTCTTAACATGGCCACAAAAACTGCAAGAACTGATTTAAAGGTTACAAATAAATTTCATCAAGTAGGCAAACTTGCACATACAGAATCTATGAAGATGAGGCAGGAGGATCATCGTAAAAATCAAGGCCAGCCTGGCCTACATAGCAGGTTCAAGGCCAGCCTGAACTACATAGTAAGACCCAGTCTCAAAATAATAATAATGATAAAGGTAACAACATAATTTTTCTTACCTGTGGAGTTTCCTCTCGTTTTCTTGATACAGTTCAGTCATTACTTCAAGTTTCTGCCGAAGCCTCTGATTTTCACTTTCAAATTGTGTATTTTCTGACCGCAATGATGCTTGTTCAGTCTGAAGATTTTTAATACACTCTAAAGAAAATTTTGAATCAAAGAAATAAATATTCTGAGTTGTACATTAACATTTCAGAAAGACACAAATTAATAAACATAATAAATTGATAATAATCTAAACCAAACACAATGGAAAATCTATAAGGTATTTTGTTCATATAAATGCTTTTTTAATATTTTAATTAAGGAGCTATATACTTTGCTCTAATTTTTTCATTAGTGTATCCTTGCTATACATCATAGTTATCTTTAATTTGGGGAAATGATAGATGTATATAACATATCTTCATCATTTTCAATCCTTTCACCTCCCTCACTATTCCTTCTCCCTCCCCCTAATCACCATCCCATCTCCATCAACTACCTCTCTGCTGCCTACAATTTCTCCTGTATTTTACTGTTATTCATGCTTTAGATTTGTTATATAAGAGAAACCATGCTATATGTAACTGTCTGTATCTGACAGTTTGACTTATTTCACTTAACAGTTCCAAGTTCATCCATTTTCTTGAAAATGACATAATTTCCTTCTTTCTGGCTGAGTACTGAACACGCATGGTAAGAGTGGACATCCATCTTGTTCCTGATTTTAGAGGGATGCTCCCAGTTTTTCCCCATTCAGTATGATGCTGCATGTACTTTTCTCATATACGACTTTTATCAAGCCATATCAAGTAAGGTTTTTCTGTACCTATTTTCATCAGGGTTTTTACCATGAAGTGACACTGAAGTCTGTCAAAGGCTTTCTCCACATCTACTGAGTTGATTACATGATTTATTTTCCTTTATTCTACCTATGAGCCAGGCATGGTGGTGCACATCTGTAATCCCAGCACTTGGGAGGCAGAAGGATCCCTGTGAGTTCAAGGCCAGACTGGGCTACCTAGTGACTTCAAGGCCGCTACATAGTGAGATTCTGTCTCAATATAAACAAAAAAAAGATCTATCTATGAAATGTATTACACTTACTGATTTACATATGTTGAACCATCCTTGCATCCCTGGAACAAAGTCAACTTGGTGTATGATGTTTTTTTGTTTGTTTGTTTTTGTTTTGTTTTGTTTTTGGTACCGGGGATCAAACTCAGGTCCTTACCTTGCAAGGTAGGCAGCGGAACTACTAAGCTAAATCCCCGGCCCTGGTGTATGATGTTTTTAATACTTTGCTGACTTCTGTCTGGGTATCTCACTGAGAATATTTGCAGATTTTTTTTTTTTTTTTTTTTTTTTTTTTTTTTTTTTCGGGTTCAATCTAACTCAGGACCTTGCACTGAGCCACATCCCTGGCCCTGCAACTATATTCCTCAAGGATACTAGCTTGTATTCTTTTGTTGTTGTTGTTAAATCCTTATCAATTTTGTATCAGGGTAAGGCTAGCTTCATGGAATGAGTCTGGAACGGCTCCTTTCCTTACAATTGCATGGAAAAGTTTGCAAAATATTGATGCTAGTGCTTTTCTAAAGTTGTGGTAAAATTCAGTGGCAAATCCAATGGGTCATGGGCTTTTCTTTGTTGTTTTTTGTTGTTTTGGTTTTTGGTTTTTTGAGACAGGGTCTGAGAATGACCTGCAACTCATTATTTAGCCCAGGCTGGTCTCGAACTCACAGCAATCCTCCTGCCTCAGCCTCCCAAGGGCTGGGATTATAGGAGTGTGCCACCACGCCCGGCTCTGGGCTTTTCTTAATAGGAGTTTTTATTAATGCATTTTGTTGCTGTTACTGATCTGTTTATAAAGATTTTGTATCTTCTTGGTTCAATTTTGATAAGTCATATATCAAGGAATTTATCCATTTCTTACAAATTCTCTAATATTGGAATGTTTTAAAAATAGTATCTAATAGTCCTCTGGATTTCTATGGTGTTATAATTTTGCCTCTTTCATTTCTAATTATATTGATATGGGTATTCTCTTTCTCTTAGTAAGTTTGGCTAAGGTTCTGTCAGTCTTATTTATCCTTTCAAAGAATGAAATCTTTAAATTTTTTTTGGTACTGGGGATCAAACTTGGGTCTTTGTGCTTGCGAGGCAGGCAGCGGCATCGAGCTAGCTCCCAGGCCCATGAACTCTTTAATTCATTGATCTTTTATACTATTTGTTTAGTCTCAATTTCACTGATTTCCACTCTGATTATTATAATTTCTTTCCTTCTACTAGTACGGGGTTTGGATTGCTCGTTTTTCTGGGGCCTTGAGATGCATCATTAGTTTATTTGGGATCACTGTTTTTCTAATGTAGGCACTCATAGCTACAAGCTTCCATCTTTGAACTTTAATCATGTTCCAAAGATTCTGATGTGTCGTACTACCACTGTTATTTGAGTCTATAAATTTTTTAATTTCTCCTTATTTCTCTTGTGACCCATTGATCTTTCCCATGGCTTTAGTACTACACATTACATATAGCAATGTTTTTTTAAAAACTAAAACTAATGTGTTTTGAAGTCCTATAAATCAACTAACACAACATGTGAAAAAGGCAATGATCATTTTTTTTTTTTTTTTTTTTAGTATCTCCTCATCTGGTACTTCAACCTTTAAAACTGTTTTACTAAAAAAAAACAAAAGTGGAGGATTTTTGCATCCAAAAAAAAAAAACTTTTACTATAAATATTCATACATTACAGAAGTTTTTGAAATTACTGGTAGGTAAAAAGAAAATAGAAATCTGCCCAAATTTAAAGTTAACCACTGCTGACAGTTGAAGATGTCCTTCTAGTCTTTTTGGATGTAAATATACATGCAAAATATATTAATTTTATACAAAATGAGATGTTATTTATACCAACTCTTAAAAAAAATTGTAGGAGGGCCGAGGATTTAGCTCAGCAGTTCGGTGGCCTACCTTGCAAGCACAAGGACCCAAGTTCAATCCCCGGTACCAAAAAAATAAAAAAAATTGTAGGCTGAGCATGGTACCTGTATTCCCAGCACTCTGGGAAGCTGAGGCAAGATAATCACAAATTCAAGCCCACCTTGGGCAACTTAGCAAAACTTTGTTCCAAAACATAAAAGTAAGAAAGGGCTGGGGTAAAGCTCTAAGCTAAGGCCCTTGGTTCAATCCACAAAACACAAACACACAAGAACTTATTTATCTTTTTTAAAAATATAAACATTACCAGCAAAGTAAACAAATCTTCTCAATGAAAAGAAAAATTTACTTCTACAGGTCTAACATCCCTCCTTTATGCGCTAATAAACCACGTATTTATATTAAAGGAAGCCATATATAGCAATTAATATTACTACTGAAGATCAGTTTTAACAAAGTAATTTTTAAATTTCAATTTGCTATTCCTTAACATCTAAAACTATCCCAGGACCAGGGATTTAGCTCAGTGGTTCCACTGACTGGCTTGCAAGCTCAAGGACCCGAGTTCAATCCCTGGTACCAAAAAAATAAATAAATACAACTATCCAAAACATGACACTGTAACCAATGGTTGTACATGTTTTCAAAAATTATTCCATTAATTTCTCATAAATATAAAAGAAACTGAGAAAGCTTTACCAACAACAAAACTCAGGACTAATTCTCCACAAATACTCACCAATGAAATTGGATTTTCCAAAATTGATTCAATAAATTTATTCTCTATAAGGAGATGTATTTACTTAGAAATATTTAAAAACTATGTCGATTACTTGCCTGTAAGGTCTTCCTTTGTTTTATCTACTTCAGATAACTGAGTATAAATCTGGTTTCTTTCTCCTTCTAAGGATTTCAAAGACGCATTTAACTTTAAAGAGCAAAATAAGAAAAAAAGCAATATCAGTTAAACAAATAACAAAAAACTTCAATATGCCACCCCAACCCTTTAAAAGCTATTTTTTTCACTCAGATGAAATTATCACCTAAAACCAACAGTGCTGCTTCCATCTTAGAAAGCTAGTAAAGACATTGAGAGTTCATTCTGAGACCAGGGGTAGAGAACATCAGTGAATGTTTTTTACTAGGTGCTTAAAAAGTCACTATTTTCATTCTATTTATTTTCAACACATTTTGACAGCCTTCACACTACATCACCAAGACTTCTCATATATAAGCAAAGATCAGAACAGAAGAAAGAAGGAATAAGTCAGAAGAAAATAAACCCAGTATTTACTTCTCAAAATAGGAAATAGTGCAGTGGGGATAAGAAAATACTAAGGCCAGAAGAAAAAGAATGTACTACAGAAAGAATTAGATAAAATGCAGTATAGTAAACATTTTAAATATATTAACTATCTGAAGAAATGAACTTGGAAGGTTTTAATAGATTCTAAAAATTATGAGTTTCTAAAGTTAATATAAAAAAGTAAAACGTAACTGCTGAAGAAATTTCTGATCATTTCTTAAATACACTTACACAAGGACAATAAAGTGGACTTTTAAAATAGCTATTAGGCAACATGGGGCACACGTACATCCCAGCCCTGCGAAGGCTGATACAGAAAGATTACCACAAGTTCAAGGCCAGCCTGAGCTACACAGTGAGTTCAAGGTCAGCCTGAACTACACTTCAAGACACTGTCTCAAAAAAACCAAAAATTAAAATAAAATAAAATAGTTACCTATCAAGGATATATAGGTTTAATCCTTGTGCTATTTCTTTATCCATTATTTTTAACATTTATAAAATAATACAAACCTTAGCAGCATAAATCAATTTCTTCAAAGCTCCTTTTGGTTCGTTATCTATAATGAAAAATAAAATTACAATTAGTTGGAAAAGCAGCACTATTCTAAAACAGACATCCAAATAATTGTATTAATTCACTCGACTAGAGTCCTAAAATTCCAGAATTTGCTAAAGGTGGAATGTTCTTTGTTCCCAGGAAGGTAAACAATAAAAGCACCAGAAGTACCACATCATTTGAAAAGTTTCTTCTACATTAAGTCTAAGAATAGGCTTGTAATAAGGATTGAGTTTTCACCTAAATACAATCCACCATTTCAACTATTCTTGGGTTTTTTACAGCATCCAAACTGAGTCAAATTATAACTCAAGTAAAATAACATTAAACAAGACTAAGTTCTCTTAGAAAAAGAATTTCCTTTTGATAGAAGTAAAAAAGGACACAGAGAACTTCATAATAATCCTTCCATATTTGCAGTTGTACTTTCTGTGATTTTCATAGTTATATAAATGGAAAATTCTATAAACAGTTTTAAATTATGCACAATTCTAAGTAGTACCTAATGCTAAAATTTCATGCTGACCTATCAATCCCTTCTGCTTAGACATAAATCACCCATCTGTGCATCATATCCATGATGTACATGCTGTCTGCCTGTTAGTCACTCAAGAGTCATTTCAGTTATCAGATGAGCTGCTGTAGCATAAATAAAGGAAACTGCACTTACAAAACTTTCCTTATAGTATGTTGTTATAATTACTCATTTTTGTTGTAACTCTTACTATAACTTATACATCAAATATGATCATAGGTGTGTAGGTATGGAAGAAAACAATATATACAGGGATCAGTACCAAATGTTGTTGGAAACATCTACTAGACAGCTTAGATAGTATCTCCTGAAGACTACTATATATATCTACTTCAGGGTTATAACTTTCTTCTAACATATGAATACTATCATGAAAGAATTTTTTGTTTTCTTTTTTTTGGTACCAGGTATTGCACTAAGGACCTTACGCTTGTGAGGCAGGAGTGGTGCCACTGAGCTAATCCCCCGGCCCATGAAAGAATTTGTTTTACACCTGTTCTTCTTTAATAACAGTGTTGATTAAGGGGCAAACTGGGAGAAGGGCATAAGATATCTGTGTACTATTTTTTCAACTTCTTAGGACTCCAAAATTATTACAGAGATAGAAGAAAGGAGAAGGGTATATAAAAAGAATTAAGAGGAGTTATGTACATGTACCAACTCCCCATGATGAATGTAATCATGTACTACAAATATGCACTAATAATAGTAATTTTAAAAATAATAAAATTATATCAAAATAAAAAGATTTTTTTTGACAAGCCAAAGGGATAGGTTTGAGTATCCAGTGAGTGGCTATAGTGGACTTAACTTGTACCAATTTCGGAATGCAACAACAATGGCAATGACAATTTGAGACAGCTAAAAGTAAAGTACTACGTTCATTTCACTAAAGAAAAAAGTCTCATTAATTATTGATTTATATAACATTCCTGTTTTAAAGTAGTCACCCCTCCATATGATTAACTTGAAGCACAAGAAAAAACAAGCTTTAAAACGATCACGATGCAATTTTGGAAACTGTTGCAATGGAGACATATGTAATACTTGAAGACAACAGAGGGTAAGGAAGCTGTGAGTCTGAGGAGTTGAAGAAAGATTTCGTGAAAGGGCAGTGATCCAGCTAAAACTGAACTGTATGGGATAGACAGAGAAAGAGAAAGAGAGAGAGAGAGAGAGAGAGATGGGCGGTATTTCAGAGAGAGAGAGAGAGAGAGAGAGAGAGAGAGAGAGAGAGAGAGAGAGAGAGAGAGGGAGGGTGTTTGAGAGAGAGAGAGAGAGAGAGAGAGAGAGAGAGAGAGAGAGAGAGAGAGAGAGAGACAGGCGGTATTTCAGAGAGAGACAGCCAGACAGAATATGCTGGAGCACAAGTGGATAAAAACATGGTGTACAGGAGGAATAAAAAGGAAATAGAAGAGCTAGTCACCATTTTAGCAAAAGAGGGTGAGTCATGACTTAATACCTAAGTGAGCACCACTCGATGATTCACTCTTCATTTCCAATTCCAAGTTACCATCATCGGTTATGTCTTCTCCAAGCACAGCAGCCCAATCTTTCATCTTTATCAAGTGTTCAGTCAGAGACTTGACATTTAGCGAAGGGAAAAATTAGAGAGAAGGTAATGCCTTATGCTTATGGCTTTATAACTTATGAATGTGCAATAGTAGTTAAAAATCAGTCCATGTAAACAACACAAGTACTTATTTTCTATTTGTTACTAAGACACGTAGTCCTAAGAACTATAAAATGTGTTGGCTATTAAATTTTTTGAGCTAAAAACCAAAATTATCTCTAAACCAAATACAATTTTGGCCCATTCCCGTTAAGATATGCTAAATGACTAAAAAGTGGTAAACTACTGTCTTGTATGACATCTCTCACTGCCACAAATAAAACGGGCATTAACATGGGTGTGAACTTTATGTGATGTAAAACATCTGTAAATGAGACAATATGATCACAGATTTTTTTACTTGACTCATTCAAGTAAACAAGCTAAAGAATTCAGTTGATAAAGACACTATGGAAAAGAATTTAAAAAGAGAATATTAAAAGTTTTACGACAATGTTTTAAATCTTCTTGAATAAAGGACAATTTTCTAACACTACAGATACTCAAATGATTACCCAGCTCTAAATTTTCAACTTTCAACCTCTTCCCTCTGTTCAGGGCTTCTGGCACAAATAACACAGACTACAGCTTTGAGCAGGGCCTGGGGATCACATTCTTCTGTTTAGGAAGAATCCCAAATCCTTTAAGTAGAATAAGTTCAGAGGAAAAATATAGTACTCATCCCTGAGTATCCACAGAGAATTGGTTCCACACTACCACCCTCTCCCACCATGGATACCAAAACCCACAGACACACAAGTCTCTCCTATAAAATGGCATAGTATTTGCATGTAACTTATGCATATGCTCCTGTATACTATAAATCACCTTGCCAGGGATGTAGCTCAGTGGCGCCACACCTGCCTGGCAAGTACAGGGTATGGAGTTTGATTCCCAGTACCAAAAAAAAAAACAAAAAACAAAAACGGGGCCAGGGATTTTGTTCAGTGGTGCCGCCACCTGCCTCATAAGTGCAAGGACCTGAGTTCAATCCCCAGTACCAAAACAAACAAAAAAACAAAATGAATCATCTCTGGATGACTTAATACCTAATACAATGTAAACTCCAGTAAATAGTTGTATACTTCATTGTTCAAGGAATAACGACAAAGAAAAACTCTGCATGTGTTCAATACAGATGCAATTTGGGGGTGAGTACTTTTGATCTATGATTGGTTAAAGTCAAAATTTTAGAACTTGTGGATATAGAAGGGCAACTTCATGCCAAATTATGAATAAAATTCTTAGAGCTGGTATCTTGACAACATTTTTGTAACAACAAAACTAGCACAAATGTATAGTAATATCCATTTTACTGTACTGATTACCGAAGGTCTTTCATCTTGTTCTTGATACTCAAACTTGAGTATCTGCACTGCGAAAGTTTAAGATTGAAAAGAAATGGGGTAGGGCCAAGGATGTAGCTCAGTGGCACCGTACCTGCCTGCCAAGCACAAGGTCCTGAGTTCAATCCCCAGTACGGGAAAAAATAAATAAATAAATAAAATGGTATAGTGACTCACACCTGTAATTCAACCACTCTGGGAGGGGAAGGTAGTAGAATCACAAGTCTGAGCTCAGCTTGGGTAACTTAGCAAGACCCTGTCTCAAAACCAAAAAATAAAAAGTTCTGGAGATGCAGCTCAGTGTGAAGGCCATGTTTAATCCCCAGTATGGGGCAGCACGGCTATGGGGGGGGGGGTAATATGCAGAAAAAAAGGGGCTGGGATAGGGAGAACAGGGAGTAGGAAAAAGGCAAACAAACACCAAACGTAATATCAATGATCTCATTCCTATCATTAAAGTTCCATTTAAATTTATTTTTAAAAGGTTTCTGTCTCTATCAAAGTATAGAATACCAGCTAATTTAGGTATTATATTCAGTTAAAAAATATGACTTTAACTATCTGTCCAATTTCTCAAACTCTTTCTGATCTCCTCCCAGCAGAAAGATGGCAGCCTAAAGAGAAAAGGTAAAAATCATTTTCTTCTCCTGTAAATACCTAGAATAAGGTACTAAAGAGACAAAATGCAGGGCCAGGGATTTAGCTCAGTGGTTCCAGTGCCTGCCTCGCAAGCACAAGGACCTGAGTTTGATCCCCAGTACCAAAAAAAAAAGAGACAAAATGGACATATAGAATATACAATGCTGATATACATGCGCTAAATCTATAAATCTCGAAGAAGCATTTGAAAGTCTAGCCAAATACTTAATGAAAATAAAAGATGCCAAAAACAAGTTTTCAAATTTCAGTGTTAGTGTTTTAGCCAACTCAGCCATGAAAACTAGTAGAACTACTTACCTTGATGTGATTTTCTTTATCATTTAGCACTTGTTCTGCATGTACTTTGGAGTCTTCAAATGTAATTTTTTGCTTATTAAGTTCACTCACTTGTTCTTTCCACACTTCAGCTTCTTGTAAAAGCTGAAATTGAAACAGTAACTAAGAATGCAACTCCTCTTACCATATTTACATACAGAAGCACTTATTCGTGTATTGGGGAATACTGTTGAGATATTAACCACTTAGCAGTTTACCCTGAGCCAAGCATCATTGAGAACATGTCTATGTACTATCAGGTGCATAACATGGGCAGGTGTCATTTCAACCAGTCGATTCTTGTACTGAATAAATTTGATCATTTTTGTATTTTCCATTACATTATCTTATAAAAATTAATGAAAAAAATGTTTGGTCATCCTGTATTTAAATAAATGGACTGGTATGTGATTAAGAAGCAGTGTGGCTACTTGGAAAGAAAGATCTGGCTACTGTGTTCAAAGAACCTTGAAAATAAAAGTAGTGTAAAATAATAGGCATTTAAACATACTTCAACTGATTTACAAAATAAATTTATATCCAAGAAAAGCATTCCTAACACATATGAATCTGTTGCATTTGGTCACGGTATTTTCCTTCTTTCTCTCGTGAGTGTGTTTGTGTGTGTGTGTGTGTGTGTGTGTGTGTGTGCGCGCGTATGTGTGTGTGTGTGTGAATGTATTGATACTCGGATTAAGCCCAGGTCTCCTATATGCAAGGCAATTGTGCTACCACTGAGCTACTTAATTTCATTTTGATTCTCACTAAACTGCTGAGGCTGACCTCAAACTTGAAATCCTCCTGCTTCAGCCTCCTGGGGAGGGATTACAGACATGTGCCACCATAGCTGGTAATTTGAGCTACTTACCATCCCTCAAATCCCATAAAACACACCATATCTTACTTGCATTAAGTTTTTTTTACCTCATTGTATTGTTTTATACTCAAGATAACTAGCCCTTACAAATATCATTAATCTAGAACAGATTGGATTTTGAATAAAGAATATTCCATTGTGTAAAATTTTGCTCAAAACAAAAACCTTTCTGAACATAACACAAAAACATCATTACAAGAGGTAGATGACTATATAAAATGTTAAAACAATTCAAATTCAAATACAACAAAAAATTAAAGAAACATAATTAAAAAGAATTCTTATATGCTGCAAATGGTAAATAACCTCTGCATGCAAATGGTAAATAACCTCTACATGCAAAGGGTTCTCAGAAGTTACCAAGACAGCCAGGGATGGTGCACAAGCCTGTAAATCCAGCACTCAGGAAGCTGAGACCACGGTCACCCTGAGTTTGACAACAGGCTGGGCTACGTAGTGAATTCAAGGTTATCCTGAACTACATAATGAGACCCTGCAGCAAAATAACCAAAACTGCTAAAATAAGTTGGTAAGAAAAATAGGCCTCAAAAAAGACTAAGCAGACAAATCACAAAAGAATGGAACAAAAATATGAGAGAGAAGTCCAAATTTATTTAAATGTTTCAACCAAATAGTAACTACTGGATTTCTCTGCAAAACTGTAGCTTTATTAGTATATTTTATACCACACCAAAAAAATCTAATTATTTTCTATTCATATATAACAGGAACAGATGATACTGACATACAAATAAATGAAAACTGAAAATAAAACTCGGACTTGGTGATTAGGTGGTCTTCAATGAGTCACTAAAGAGACTGTGGACAAAGCATATAGTACTCAAATATTACAGAAGGAGTGAATTATAACAGAGAATCTGTGAATTCAAAACAATTTTCAGAACTATGATTAAAAAGAAATTGGATGAAAGCAACTATAGCCAGCATGAGCATGCATGCCTGTAATCCCAGCACTTGGGAGGCTGAGGCAGGAGAATCATCACAAGTTTGAGGTCAGCCTAGGATACATAGTGAGCTCAAGGCAAGCTGCACTACAAAGTGAAACCCTGTCTCAAAAAAAAAAAAAAAAAAAAAAAAAAAA